TTCTTTCTTTCTTTCTTTCTTTCTTTCTTTCTTTCTTTCTTTCTTTCCTCAAACTCACTACGTAGACCAGGCTGGCCTCAAACTCACAGAGAGCCAACTGCTTCTGCCTCCCAAGTTCTAGGATTAAAGCGTGTGCCACTATGCCCAGCTTGCTCCATCATTTTTAAAGGAAGCGACAGTAGCCCTCTGCCAACAGAGCACATAGACTCATAATCTGTAGAGTACCTGTCAAGGCCAAGCTCGTTGTGATCACCTCAGTCACTGACACTGCAGGGTTTCCCATACACTCCCAGTGGGAACAAGGCCACCGGGCCCTGGAAGACTGTGCAGGTCACAGAGGATCCTGCCAGACTTGCTGATGCAGTGCTACATTGGGTACCACTCAAAAACCCACGCCCAGCTCATGGCTCAGTCCCTGCAGACAGATCCCCTTCCCATTTAGTAAATGTGTCTATGAAGCTATGAAATCTGTTGTGGAGAAACCAGAGGAGATTAAGATATAAACTTTGCCCTAAAGAAGTTTGTCATTCAACTAGTCATGTTGAAAATCCCTGGGAAATTACCAGTGCCTAAATTTGGTTTGGCAGGAAGTGGGGAAGCTGGCTTGGGTTGAGCTGGGCCTTGGCTGTGATGGGTGCAAAGCAGGAAGGTGTTCTGAGAAGCCTGAACTTGCCTCTTGGGACCCACTGTCCTTCCTCTCTACCAGCCTTGTACTCCATGCTGACTTCTCCAGCTTCTCTTAACCTGGTTCTTGGTTGGGTTGAATTGGGTTTTCCCATTAGAAGCACCAGAAAGAGATTAGAAACCAGGGGAAGAGTGCCATCCTGGATATGTTTGTTCTGTGGCTTCTCCCTGCTGGCTTCTGTAGGTGCCTCTGAGACCTGTCAGTGAAGAACCCAGATGCCACTAGATATTCTTCTCCACCCAACTGTGCTCATTTCTATAAACCAATGGTGTCTCAGGAGACTCTTCAAGCCCTAAGGAGTAATGGCTATATCCTCTATTGACATCCAAGGGTATTTCCCTCATCCTTTGTCTGTTCCCCTGAAGTATACTCACTTCTTCCCTGAGGGGGGAAAAAAGATGGAAAGAAAGAGGGCTGGTGAGATGGCTCAGCATGTAAAGAAGGCTGTTGCCAAGGCCGATGACCTGAGTTCAACCTCCAGGACCCACGTGGAGAAACAGCAGAGTCAACTCACCCAAGTTGTCCTGTGACCTTCATGCTCAAACAATGGTCCGCATTTTACATAAAATGAAATAAAAACGAAATAATAAAAAGAGAAGAAATGGTTTTCTTTAAATGGAGTTGAGTACGGATAACGGCATCCAGAGATGAGGAAGATAGGGACTCAGACTGGTGTGGCTAAAACATGAGGTGGGAGCAGAGTAGTCCAGAAGCGCTTTGCATGCTAAGCCAGAAAGGTGATGTCACGGAACACTTCACAGGTCTCTGCAACGTTTATCCTAGACTAATGGCGTTCTCTCTCTTTCCAGGAAATTCCTGCTGCCATCCTCCGACCTCCTCTCAGCACAGGACAAGGATGGAGGAAGCTTTTGGCTCCCGCCTCTATGTCTGTTTGGCTATGCTTGTCTTCCTGCCCTCCCTGAGCCTAGCACAGTATGAGAGCTGGCCCTACCAGCTCCAGTACCCTGAGTACTTCCAGCAGCCGGCTCCCGAGCACCATCAGCACCAGGTGCCCTCTGATGTGGTCAAGATCCAGGTGCGCCTGGCGGGCCAGAAGAGGAAGCATAATGAAGGTCGAGTGGAGGTCTATTATGAGGGCCAGTGGGGCACCGTGTGCGATGATGACTTCTCCATCCATGCCGCCCACGTGGTCTGCCGGGAAGTGGGCTATGTGGAAGCCAAGTCCTGGACTGCCAGCTCCTCCTACGGCCCAGGGGAAGGTAAGACACTATGCTGTGGAGCTAAGTGTATGTCACACAGCAAGGCCGGGGACACTCCCTGATTAACCTGCAAAGAAAGCTGTAATCACATTAGGCACAAATTTCCAAGAGTTCTCTATGTGCCCTGCAGGCCGTGTCCTGCTGGAAGGTGGGTGGGAGGCCCCTTCAGGGAATGATAGAGGGAGCAAGCATCATGAACTCTCCAGGCTAGTCTTTCTTTGGGCGTGAAACATCTCGGGCAAGCCAAGATGGTTGGTGACCTCAGCCAGTAGGTGAATGTAGCCTGTGCTCATCTCACTAAGCCACATGCAGTGTCATGCCTGCCTCCAGATTTCTGCTCCCAGGTAGGGCTTTCACTTTCTCAGTAGTATTCAATAGTAGGGCTAGAGTTCAACCCACATGAAGATCATATCATCATCATCATCGTATCTACGGGTGTGTGCACGCCTTGTGATTTCACACAGGTGTGCATTTATGGCATCTAGAGGACAACTTTATGTGTTGTTCCTCAGATGTTATCCTTTTTTTTTTTTTTGTCTTTTGAGACAAGGTCTTTCAATGGCTTGGAACTCACCAGGTAGGCTAAGTGTTAGGCCAGCAAGCCCCAGGGATTCCCCCTCGACTTTTCCTCCGTATGGCTGGGACTAAAAGCGAGTGCCACCAGACTCCTTTTCAACTTGTTTTCAGTTTAATTAACATCATTAAGCAAAGTGCCGTATGGCATGTGACTGACATCTGGAAGATGGACTCGTTAAGAACCAGTGTACCCCAATAGTCCATGTTCCTTGTTGAGCATGCAGGTGTAGGTGAAAGGCAGCATTTGCGAACAAACGTTCTTCCTGGGGACAGGAAATGGCTTTGTGGGTAAAGAGTTTGCTGTGCAAGCATGAAGGCCTGAATTTGGGTATCTACGGCCTACATAACAGCTGGGCACAGTGACATGTACCTGAAGCCTCAGTGCTGAGGGGGTGAGGACAAGTGGGTCTCCTGGAGCTCATTGGCCAGCCAGCCTAGCCAATTGGTGAGCACCAGGTTCAATGTGAGACTCTGTCTCAAGAGATAAAGTGGAAGATCACACACACACACACACACACACACACACACACACACACACACACACTCCTCCAGGAGCTACCTCCACCCCAGGTTGGCAAATCAAGCTGCTCCCCAGCTGAGCTGCCCACAGGCCTTGGCATGAATCAGACTGATGAACTACAGTGAGTTGTATCTACATGCCCCGGACCAGGGGGCCAATGCCATGAAAACGGCACAGAGCTCTCCTGGGTGAGCGTAAAATACAGCACATTTCCGACCCAACCCAGAACATTCTGTTCTCAAAGTTTCTGGTTGTAACTGGATTGGGGGGGGGGGGGCGAGAGATAGACAAGTTAACCCTGCAACCCTCCTTCCAGATATTCTAGAAACAAAGGGAAGAAAGGTGTCCCACCTCCCCCACAGACAGTGGGAAGTTTCTTGATGGAAGAACTGGCCGGAGATCTCATGTTTAGAGTCACGTGTTCTGAAAGCTTGTTCTGGGTACCTCGGCAACAACGAGAGCCAAAGCAGCCAAGACCAGTTAGCTGAGCCCTTTAGAATCACTCCCTGCATCGGACTACACTTCCAGTGTGCTTCCATATGTCTGCCTCTCTGTTTATTCTGTGATCTGAGTGAGCCAGGGCTTACGTCAGATTTATATTTTCCATTCCAGATCAGTGTGTCCTCAAAATTTTATGACCAATACTCTCCAACAATGATGGCTTTTACCCCGTGACAGGTTTACTTTTTAACCAAATTGGCAACAAATCTACCATCCAATGAGGTAGCTGTGGGTCTTCGCCCACAGGAGGCAGCATGGGGTGGCTGGACAGGTGGGATTATTTGCTAGGACTTTGCTATTGAAGGGTGACAAAGGGTCAAAGGGTTCAGGAGAGTGGAAAAGACTTGAAGGGCTACCGAGTCCATGCTGAACAATGGGATGGTGGGAGATACAGGTGCAGAATGCAATGCTTGTGATAGAGACTGAGGAGAGTATATTATTGATTACAGCTAGGGCTGAGCCATGAGCTTGAAGAGCAGCTGGAGCCAAGGGCAAGAAAGTCTCTAGAGAGAGGACATGGAGTGGCCAAATAATGAACTTCTATAGGCCATCTGTGGGGGCACTGAGGCCATGGTTTATGGCAGCTGCAGTTTAAGGAAAGGATGGAGAGCAACAAATATGAGACAAACTGAACGCTGAGGTTCCAAGGGATTTAAGACAAGCCACCTGAGAGATGAGAAGACAGCTCAGTTAATTAAGAGCTTATAAAGACCCAAGTTTGATCCTTAAACCACCTCACACCCCCACTACACACAAGAAGAGGCGGATGTGGCAGTTGGACATGGTGGGATGTACCTGTACACACATTTACACAGACACACACACGTGCACACAGAGTTCAGCCATCTGTATGTAGAGTGGCACTTGGTTTGTACCATGGGAGAACTTCTAAATATAAACAGATTTAACTTTCATCAGGCACGGTGGTGATTTTATTTTAGCACAGGGTACATGGTATGCACTCAGTAAATACGAGCTGACTGGTCCGCTCTGGTGTGGGAGAATACAGAAGACAGTTCATGAAGCAGCCTCTTGTATGATGAGCACAGTGTCCTGGCTGGGGCTGGGGCTCTTGGTGGTGCCTAATGGAGTCTGGCCTGGGAGCTAGGCTCTGCAGTGGAATGATGTAACTGACCCCACAACATGCTACCCTCCTGGAGTCTCCAAACACCTCCAAGGTTCAAGCTGCTGTGATGAAAATAGGGCAATCATCAAGGACCCTTGGGATTTTTCAGCCTAACCCTGCAAGTGGGTCTCAACTCCCAAAGCCCCTGTGAGCCCAGGCAAGCCATGACCCTTTCAAAGAGCTCTAAAGAGGGCAGCTGGCCTATTTCATACCCTCTGGTGGGCTTTCACAGTAACCTGAAACAGGATGGAGACCCTCTACCCAACTGTACCAATACTGCAAGGCCAAGAGCCCTGCACGTTCTGACTTGGGGTAACTTCCGTTGCTCTGATGGAACCAAGGGCTCAGCATGCAAACTCACTTCCTGGATGCTCTTCCAAAGCATCTGCTAATTTGTTTACATACTTCTTTCACCAAGAGAGGCGTTTCTGTGAATGAGTGGAAAGAGTAAAGCACAATTCTGCTTCTGATGGCTTTTTTTGTGTTCCAAATATGAGCTTCATCTTACATCCCAAGTTAGCATGTTTCTAGCATCCATATGTCTCCTAGGTGTGAGAATATGAGGCAGTTCTAGGCACCTAGGGAACGTATGGAAGCAGGGTGTGTTGGGATCAGGGCAGTCTGGCTGATAGGTACTAGATATATTGGAGAAAACAGTGATGTGAAACCAGAGCAAATAGCGAACCGTGGAATGTCATGTTATCTTAAGCAAAGTGTAGAGTTGTGTATCCTGCATCTAATAGAAAGCATCATGGTCGAGCATAGCAGAGAGCAAGACCACTGAAGGGAGTGTGACAGGTCCAGGAAAGAGCAGTTCTGCTGGGTAACTTCCACACCGTGCCTTTGAGGGTGCTCTGAGTTTTGTCGAGTAGCCACGTGATGAAATTAAGCTAGATGTCTATCAAGAGGGGGTTGAAAACTGCACATAGGGGTGCATGCCTTTAATCCTAGCACTTGGGAAGCAGAGGCAAGAGGATCTCTAGGACTTTGAGGCCACACGGTGAGTTCCAGGACAGCCAGAGCTACTTAACAGGCAAACAAAACATAAAACAAACAAACAAAAAAACAAAACATAACAACAAACAAAAAGATGACCAAATAAGGGAAATGGATATACACACAATGGAATATTAATCAGACATCACAAAAGCAAAATGATGCCATTTTCGAGAAAAATGGATGGAACTGGAGACCGTCATATGAAGTGAAGCAAACCAGGGCCAACTGGAAAAATACCATGTCTTCTCTCATACATGAAATCTAAATTTTATATAAAGGACTTAAGCCAGGTGATGGTAGGATATGCCTTTAATCCCAGCACTTGGAGGCTGAGCCAGGTGGATCTGTGAGTTCGAGGCCAGGTTGGCCTGTCTAGTGAATTCCAGGACAGCCAGGGCTATGCAGAGAAAACTTTTCTTGACAAACAAAAACAAACAACAACAACACGGAAGGACTTGAAAGCAGAGGGAAGACTATTTGGAAAGAGTAGGGGATCCGCAGAGGTGAACGGTGGGAGAAGACGATGGGCTGCATATTATCAACGTTCATGCTATGCACGCAGAGGAATGTCATAAAGAACTCTCTCTTTGAGAGCGGCTATTGCTAGGTAGCCCTGACCGGCCTCACATTCATGTGCTATCCTCCTGCTTCTGCCTCCCCAGTGATTACAGGCATGTGCATTATTTTGTGCAATGAATACACACACTCGATGGGAAACAAAGAGCTTCTGGCCATCCTCCATGCCCAAGTGAGGGTGGCTTCCTTGGCCACAGACGGAATAAGGGCACTGCCTCTTTTCACAGTCTGCCCTTCAGCAGCTCGGCTCAGAATGTTCTGGGGAAGAAGCCTTGCTGGCAAGATGGAGGGGCCCTTCCGTTGCTAGTACGCAGTAAAACAAATAACGAGCTTGCTGTAGAAACAGCCGTCTATTAGCAAGCATGTGTTTCAGTGGAGCCTGACGGCTTGGAAACCAGCCCAGATTGGGAAAGTGGTTGGAAAACCCAGTCCAGATGTTTTCAATCAGCCCATTGTTCCCACAATGAGTCCAGAGCTCTTTCCTTTGAGCCACAACCAGCCAGGCATCAGAGTACACACGTTGTAGCAAGGCTTGCAAGTCAGGAGACTGGCCCCGTGTCCTCCTTGGCCTTGAAGAACCTCGGCTTCGCACAGCAATTTTCTATTCTCTACAACGGGAGTGGTTTCATCACCTCCCTTTCTCGCTATGGGAACCATAGAATACATTGTTGTTGTTGTTGTTTACTTAGAAGAAGGAAAAGA